CTTATAAAGTGGGATTAACAATAGAGGAAGTAGTTTCAAGGGCAGTACGAGACTTAAAACATCGTTCTTATAAAGTGCGATTAACAATAGAGGAAGTAGTTTCAAGGGCAGTACGAGACTTAAAACATCGTTCTTATAAAGTGCGATTAACCCTCGATAATCTTTCTTGAAAAATTATGACAGTGATCACGTTCACTCTGCTAAACATTTTCCATCTTCACGTATAAACCCTCCTCATATCTAGAACTGAGTCCCTAGATAATAAATAGATCTTTGTTTCTTTAAAAATTTAATCCCACCGACAGAGTAAATCAGGGTAAATTTGACTAATACAAAAACATTGCTCCGTCAAGGTCTCCCTTAAAAAAATGTTCGCATATTTTTATATCGTTTTTAGCTTAAAAAAAAAGAAGTTGCATGTGTTCTACGAAATCAAAGGCTGTTTAAGTTTCCATAGTGTTTCTTATTTACTTCCAAGTCTCACGAAACCTCTCCAATGATTTCAACAAATAAACATACAAAATATAAAACCTTTTTTAGAAACGCGCAATATAGAACAAACATTAAAAAATAGAGCCAAACTTGTGGACGAGGCAAACGTTAAGAGGTTTTTTCTAATAATGAATTACATGTTTTTTGTTTTTACTTGTAAGTCACTTATACAGTAAATAAAAACATGGAAAAACCTTGACCAGGATTTTATGATTATTTATTTATAGTTTAATTCTGCGTCGCTTACATTAGTCTTTTCAGTTCATCATTTAATTGAGAAATTTTGTGGTCCATTCAGTTTCAAATTTAGCATTCGTTTTGAAATTTGCTAAATAAATCCAAATTGAATATAAAGCGAATACAAGATTATTATTAGTAATTATTACGCCTCCCAGTGGCCAAGCGGTAAATCTGAGGTTTTATAACGCTAGAAACCGAGTTTCGATATCCGCGGTGGACAGAGCACAGATAACCCACTGTGTAACTTTGTGTTTAACAAGAAACAAACAAACAAATTAAATGCTGCTTTCTAGATGTCTGTAGTTTTTGCCCAGCTAAAGGAATTTCCGGAAGGGAAGAAATTTATGAGCAGACTTGCACAGTTACAAAATAATTGAAGGTGTTAAACAACATCATTAACCACTCCCCTCTCTCTCCTTTGACAAGCTCTTAAATACGTTGGAAAGAAAACACTGAACCTGAAATTTCTCCAATAATGTTGTAAGATTAGACAGGATAACATTAATTGTATCCATCATGTTAAGAACGAAGACAGGTTATTTCTTTTTAAGCTTGACTTATCGAAAATTGTTTTATCTATAAGTACAGTGGTCTTAGATCAAAAATTGTTTAATCAAAATGAAATGAAATTTGATGACAAGATTCAACTAAACTATGAAACATTAAATGTCCCTTGGGTTTTGTTTTGATAAAAGTAAGTCAACGATCAAAATCCCAGTTAATCTTCTATATTAGGTCGTCAAGACATTAATGTCGCTTTTTAGATGAAAAAATCCGAACAACTTATATATCTAAACAAAACATTTATTAAATGAAATAGTCTCCATTCTTATCGATGATGCTTTTCCATCTTTAAATAAGGTTGTAAATGCCTTGATTAAAGAAATCACTTGGTTTTGAAGCAAAAAACATGTCTATTTCCTCTTTAACACGTTCCACATTTGCATACGTTTTCCCATTAAGCTGGTGTTGCAGCAAACGAAAAAGATGATACTCTGATGGTGCCATATCTGGAGAATATGGTGGGTAGGGGAGAACTTACCAACCGAACTCTATAGTCTGGTGTTGCGTCAAATGTGCCACATGTGGACCTGCATTGTCGTGGTGAAGAACAACTTTCCAATTGACGAGTGAAGGGCGTTTCTGACGAAGAGTTTGATTTAAACGTTCCAGTTGTTGACTATAGATCTCTGAATTGACAGTTCGCTGTGGATTGAGGAGTTCGAAATGAATTACTCCTTTGATGTCCTACC